CTTGCCATCTGCTAAGCTTAAAACTTGAGATAAATGTAGTTGCTCAAGCTGAGGGAAAAGAGCCTTTAAATTGTCCATAAGCGTAACGTCATTAATAAACCGTGGCACTAAAGCACTCGAAATAATGTTTGAAAAAATACCATCATCCCAAATAACTTGATGAATAAGCACTTCAATGGTGGAATCAAAAATCTGGGAATCCGAGGCCTTAATATCCACGCCAGGTAAAAAGAAAAGAGGACTAAGTTTCCCAACAATACGAGACTGCGAAAGAAGATTAAACCATCCAGTGGCAAGCTTCTTCGATACAATGTCATCCTCCGTTTCCGATAAATTAGCTTCCTCAAGCTTCCGCTTTAAATCTGGAGATTCAGGCTGAGTTTTCAAAGCAACCTTAACTTCAAAGGGCCGACCTCCTGGTTTTAAATTGTTTTCAGGTGGCTTACAAGTATCGTCATCGCTTTCTTCAATGTCACTATCTTCCTCTTCTTCTTCTTCTAAAGTCCCCGGCTCTACAAAGTACCTGCCACCTCTAGAATACTTGGAATCAAGATTGTTGGAAATCGAACTGTGGAACTTTAACGGAGAAAATATATTGTTTCTCTTTTCCTCAGTAAAAAGATTACTTAGAATTGAAACATTCTCAAATTCAAATCCTTGACTTGGCTTCACTTCAATCGTCTGACTAGATGCAAATGGCATTGGCCATAAGAAAGATGACGAATTCGTTGACGCCGATGATTGGGACTTGATATCTTCCTTTTCACTAGAGTGAGGTACAGGCTCATTGACCTGCTCCTCTTGAATTGGGTTTAACACTTTTTCTTTTGTGTCATCAAAAAAGTTAAAGTCATCTTCAGTGATTTCTTGTGCATCTCCAAAAAGTTCTTCAATGTCATCCCAGTTTTTAGATGACTTCCCCGGAGTAAAATCGTTAATTGCGTGATCTTGCTCATTAATATCAGGTCGGGATCTAAGTGCAGGATCAGGAGGTGTGGGATAAATAATCGAAGGTCCCATGCCATTCATTCTCAAAGGTTGTTGGGAAATTAAATGGCTGTTAAATATATGTGATGCATTTTCCGACAAGTTAATTGATAGGCTATCTGTGAAATCTTTGGAAACCAGTCCAAGCCCGTTTGTTAGTCGTTTGTTGTCATTAGAATCATTATCGTTACTTTTATCATTGTCATTTCTATAGTCTTCATCAAGAGAAGCAATCGCTTGTAAATCGTTCATGTGAGTTTCAACCTGTGAAATAATGTCATTTGATCGAAACCAAAATAAATCGTTATCTGTCTTATGCTTAAAAGGTGGCTGGCAAAAGCAAAAATCCATTGGCCATGAAATGATTATTGGGTTTGCCATCTGTGGACTTATATTAAAAGTAGCCCAGTCCATTGAAGCTAGCCTGGTATCTTCAATTTTAATACCATATGAGCACATTAAGAGGTTAACAAAGCCCTTAACTGACTTTGGGGGAGGTATAAAAGAAATGAAAGATGCTGGAATACCAATTGGAGAAAGTATAATTTTGGAGGGAATCTGAAGAGGTTTGGAGGATGCGTTACAGCTTTCAATTGCATGTGAAAGTTTAAATAAATTGGATTGTTGGTGGTATATTTTAAGTATAAGGTCTCCAAAGGGTGAAAGAGAAGGCTCAATATTCAGTAAATTTCCATTCGTCATATTGACTAAAACGGGACCTAAAGGAATAAGAATATCAAACTGGCATAGAGAATGAAAAATTAACGACTTGACTGCCGTAATAAATGGAACATAAGGAGCCGGAGATGCGTGATTATCCTGTAGCATCATTGATGATATGAAGATACCGGTGGATGTTTCTAAACAAGTTAGTTAAATAGTAGAAAACAAGCACGGCAATGTCACCTTACCTGTCAATCCAAGTGACTCCGCAGAGACTGTCTTTGGGAACGACGGACGCAAAGTAAAAAACCATAATTCATGTCCTATTATTGCCACAAGTGGTTTGGAAATTGATTTTCTAATAAACCATTCCGCCTGGTAAAGAAGTTCTTTATTGTTTGTGGTGGGAGAAGGTGATGGTGGTATGAAAACTCGGTATGGAATTTGAGTAAAATTTCCCTATAATGGCATGTTAATAAATAAATAAATAAATAAATAAATAAATAAAAATAAGGGGAGGGATAAACATACCGCTTTAAATATATTTGAGTGGGCGTTATCTAGATTTATGGACATTATGAAGGGATATCAACTCATTTCTAAATAAAAGGACATTCATGGAGATATTGTGAGGAACATTTGCCATGAAATATTGGCCTTGGATATATATATATAATATATGTATATATAATATAAAAACGAATATTAAGAAAAGTAAGATTAAGAGAGTAAAATAAAATAAATAAAATATTTTGAAATTGGCCAAAAAAAATAAAAAATAAAAAAGAGAGGTGTTTTTTTGTGAAACAGGGTAACTGATCGCTGATGTAACATTTTACGTAAAGTCTTTACACCCAAAATTATCACCACGTCGTACTTTTCAAAATCCTTCTTGTTGTTTTTAAATACTCTCAATTTAATCACAGCAACGACCCTGGGCAGAAATTAAAAACAACAATAAAAGGTGAAGGAGACCTTTAAGGCTTATTTTGAGATTCTACCAGGTCTTTTCTACTCGTCCATACAAAAAACCTGCTTAACAAGATGAACACCATAGAGCGTAAAATAAGGAACGTTTTCCAAGCTCCCAAGAAAGGTATGAAAAAAAAAAAAAAACATCTAGTTAATCTTTAGAACCCCAAATAATCTAATTCATTTTACAGGAGAGACTTTTGAACTTCGCAAAGGATTGGTGTCTCAATATGCATATGAGAGGTATGAAATTTGAAACTTTCTTTTCTTGACCAAAGGACCCATTACTGACATTGCAAATTAGAAAGGAGGCTATTGAGCGAACAATCTCGGCAATGACTGTCGGTAAAGACGTTTCGGCTCTATTCCCAGACGTTCTAAAGAACATTGCCACTCACGATCTTGATCAAAAGAAACTTGTTTATCTCTACCTCATGAATTACGCCAAAACCCACCCAGAACTTTGTATTCTTGCCGTCAATACTTTTGTCCAAGACTCCGAGGATCCAAACCCCTTGGTCCGTGCGTTAGCCATTCGAACCATGGGCTGCATTCGCGTCGATAAAATGGTTGACTACATGGAACATCCTCTTCGCAAAACTCTCAAGGATGAGAACCCCTATGTGCGCAAAACAGCCGCCATTTGCGTCGCTAAACTTTTCGACCTCAACCCAGAGCTTTGCATAGAAGAAGGCTTTGTTGCTGAGCTCCAACGTCTTTTGGGTGATAATAATCCCATGGTTGTCGCCAACACGGTCTCAGCCCTGGCTGAAATCCAGGAATCAGCTCCCGACACCAAGAGTTTTGTCATCACCTCTACTGTTCTTAACAAACTTCTTTTGGCTTTGAACGAGTGCACAGAATGGGGCCGCATTGCTATTCTTACCGCTTTGGCTCAATACAAGTCGGTCAACCAAACTGAAGCCATCCACATTGTCGAGCGAGTTGTTCCTCAATTTCAACATGTTAACCCAAGTGTTGTTCTGGCCGCTATTAAGGCTGTCATTGCCCACCTAGACACACAAACACCAGATTCCCGTGCTGCTCTGCTTAAGAAGATGGGGCCTCCTCTCGTTACTCTTGTTTCGGCTGACCCAGAAGTCCAATATGTGGCTCTTAGAAATATCCAAATCATTTTGCAAAAGTTCCCCTCCATTTTGGCTCGAGAGCTGAGGGTATTTTTTTGCAAGTATAATGACCCGCCTTATTTGAAGATGGAGAAGCTAGAGATTCTTGTCAATATCGCCAACTCTGGAAACTATGGCCAGCTCTTGTCTGAGCTTCATGAGTATTCCATGGAAGTTGATATGGACTTTGTTCGCCGTTCCATCAAGGCCATTGGCCAAGTCGCCATCAAGATTGATGCGGCTGCCCCCAAGTGTGTGGAAATTCTTGAGGATTTACTGCGCAACAAGGCTGGTTATGCTATTCAGGAGATTGTCATTGTGATGAGAGACATTTTGCGCAAATACAGAAACTTTGAGGGCGCAATTGGGTCTCTATTCCAATATCTTGATGATTTGGATGAGCCTGAGGCCCGTGCCGCCATCATTTGGATTATGGGCGAATACGCAGATAGAATAGACAATATTGCAGAGGTTTTGCAAGGATACATTTCGACTTTTAAGGAAGAGACTTCACAGGTGCAGCTCCAGCTATTAACAGCATGTGTCAAGGTTTACATTAACAAGCCAGAATCTGGCAAGCAGTTCCTTCAGAGCGTTTTACAAGCAGCAACAAGTCAGACAGAGAATGCCGATGTTAGAGACAGAGGCTATATTTACTGGAGATTACTATCAACGGATGGCGAAGTTTCAAAGGATGTTATATTAGCAACTAAGCCACCCTTGAACTCTACAATCATTCCTATTCCTCAGGGTCTGTTGAATGAGCTTTTAAGCGAGCTGTCCACTCTGGCGTCTGTGTATCACAAACCAGTCAGTAGCTTTATGGGTAGCGGCAGATTTGGTGCGGCTGCGGTGCGGAAACTTGCGATTGAGGAACAAAAGCAGCTGGCCAAGGAAGAGTACATTGATGCCGATGCAGTTTCGCATAACGGTGCTAAGGTGAATGTTGAGAATTTGTTGGATCTTGATTTTGACTCAGAACCCAGTGCGCCTATTGTTTCCTCTGGCTCGCACGAATCCAATGAGCTTGCTGGAGTGTTTTCAGATGGCGGCAATAAGACGGCAAGTTCGGGCGCTAATGGCAAGCCCAGCAACAGTGATATACTGAGTCTTTTTGGCAACAGCGGCAGTACTAATAACACTGGCGTTGGGTCTACTACAGGTGCATTTAACAATCTCAGCATTAATTCTGGTAACGCCGGTGCCCCAGCAAGCGCCCCCAGTAATGCTCCTAAGACTAATGAAGATTTGCTGAGTCTTTTTTAATGAGGTGGGGAAGAAGAGATGATGAAATATATAAATAAATGTCTATATATATATATACAAGTTTATTTTTAACGTAAAAAAAATTAAAAAAAAAAAGAGAAAAGTTTTAAAAAAGAAAGAATTGTAAAAAAAAAAACAATATAATAATAATATATTTTTAATATTAATTATCATCATGAGAACATTATTTTGCCTTAGAATATAAACATTGTGATTCTTTAATCAAATCACTCCTTGAACGTTTTTCTTTTTTTTTTGTAGTTAGTTTCTAATTTTTTTATTATTATTAATATTAATATTATAATACCATTTCAATGGTAGTAAAATTGCCTCCTTATGTGTCAGATGTCCCTGTTTGATTGTTTTATATAGTCTACAGAAAAAAAAAAAAAAAAAATTAAAATCACCATATCACACTGAAAATTTCCTACACATACACACACACAAACGCCTCTTTTAAAACCACCAATTTGTCCAAACCCCCTCTCTCTCCCTTTTCAAACAATCCAAATATATTATTTATTTACAACCCAAAAAATGGTCCTTTCAAACATCCTAGATATAATAAACCCACCACCCCTTAAACCACACGACCAACAAACGCCTTCATCCGGTGGTGGCACCTCATCATCTTCAGATAATAATACAAATAAGGATAAACAAGATGAGCCATGCTTGACTTGTCTGGCCACATCTTCCGCAGTTATGATCTTTGGTGGTGCTTACTTGTCATCGGGCCTTGTGTTTGCTACCAATGATAATAAGCCACTACCTGGGGTAACTCCACAATGGCGCTCAATTGTGCGCGGAGGTGGTGCATTTTTAATTGGTCTGGGGGTTTATCGTGGTATAAGTGCAGTAAGTCTTGCAATAAGCCAGTACAATAAGAGCAAGGAAAGCGACATCACCAATAGTCCATAGATAGGGAATATGGGAACGTTGATTTTGATGTAATGTATATAGTATTAAGAAAAATAAGGTCTTTATATTTGTTCTTTAAATAAAAAAAAAATAAAAAAAAAAAGATTAATCATAATCTTTGATTGGCATTCTTATAATTGCTGTGCCCATAAATCTAACCTCACATTATTCTTTTTAGATAAAATGAAAAACTCTTCATTTTTAAGTTCCTTTGGAGTGGGTCTGTCAGACTCTTTGACAAGACAGTTGTCCACAAACTTTCTAAAAAGCTTGGAAAAGGGCGCACCAGGAGGCAATGTTGGTGGGGGCTCATTTACAATTCTGTGGATCAGATCCACGATGCCACAAGGTTTTTGGCTATCTGAGTCGTCATAGTAGTCACCATCATCGTCGTCGTCATCGTCATCATTATCATCATCATCATCATCACCATTATCACGAGACTTCTTAGCCCGGTTCACCCAGGGGAAGTATCCAATGGCAAGTTCAAGAATGGTAAGACCGAGAGACCATACATCACTTCGGATACTATACTGGCTGCCGCAAATCCGTTCGGGCGACATGTAGATGGAAGTTCCCACAAATGTGTCAGCCATACTGTTTACAAGCTCACTCGAAACACCAAAGTCACAAAGTTTGATCTGGCCCTCCGAGTTTACCAAAACATTTGATGGTTTAATATCGCGATGCATAATGTGGTGAGACTCGTATAGATACTGGAGCCCTTCGATAACAGCAACTGTAATTTTACCAATAATTGGTTCCGGGAGGGGCCCCTTTTTTTTGGAAATGTAATCGAGTGACCCCTTGTTCATATATTCCATGCAAATGGCCACATGTTTATTGCTGTGGTAAAAGCCATAAAAGGAAACAATGTAGGGCGACCGGCACTCATTCATAATGCGAATTTCCTTGTTGATACGTCGGCGCACCTCTGGTTTGGGGTCAATCGGGATTTTTTTACGAGCCATTAGTCGTTTTGTAGGTACATGAAAGACCTTAGCGACTGTTCCTCCATTGCCAGACCCAAGTTCTGAAATGAGCTCCAAGTCTTCTTCGCGCATGTCTAGTTGAAACTCAACGCCAAGATCCAAGGAGCTCATTTGAGAAATCAAACCGTTAGGATTTTGCCTGCTTCGGCTGCTGCTGCTGCTGCTAATGATTTGGGAGTTTGGAGCCACTAGTTGGATAAATGTAGTGTTTGTGCCGGTAGCAGCTGTATTTACAGCGCCATTGTTTGAGGGAGATGAAATGAAAGAAGAGGATGAGTTTGACTGGGAAAAATTTGAGGATGAGGCTGACGAGAAGGCAGTTATAGAGTAATTTGATGGTGTTGGAGGAGAGGCAGTAGCAGTGGGAGCAACTTGGGATCCCAGAGATAATTTCTTAAAGTTTTTACGTTTCATTGATTTTGGTAAGTTAATGGTAGAGGCTGGAGAAACAGGGGTTTCCAAGTTATTGAAGGTTGCGTTTGGCCTTGTAGATGAGATATTGGAGATAGTAGTTTGTGATTCTTGTTGAAGAACAAGAGGGTCTCTTTGAGAGATGGTGATGTTTGATGAGAATGCAGGAGGAGGTCCCAAGTTGAGAGCCAAGGGAGGACCTCTTCGAGGTGCCATTTGTTGAGAACGTTGCTGCTCTACATTGTGTTGCTGTAGTATGGGAGGTTGGAAGGATGAAATTTGAGGACGAGCTTGATGTTGAACTTGATGTTGAACTTGATGTTGAACTTGATGTTGAACTTGATGTTGAACTTGATGTTGAACTTGATGTTGAGCCAGTGTGTGAGATTGGTAGGGTTGTGATGAAGTGTGAATGGGAAGTTGGGTTTGGTACATGGCTTGTGTAGATGGAATGATTGAACTTGAGGATTGAATCAGAGTTGTGTTTGATGATATTAGCACTGGAGAGCTTGTTCTAGTAGAGTCTTGATTGTAGATTCTTGAGTGTCTAGATGATGATTGTGATGAACCATTTGAGAGAGGGGGCTGTGGAGGAGGGTTTATTACGCCAATATTATCTTTAGGAGTAGAGTTTAATGAAGATGAAGATGAGGATGGGCTGTTTGACGAAGAAGAAGAATGCTTCGACGAAGTGTTTTTAAAGAGAAGAGCCATTTGATAGTAGAGCAATTATCTAAAAATATGTGAATTGTCTAGTTATATGTACTCATATAAATAAATATATAAATATATATATATATTTATATATATAAGGGGGTATATGCAGTCCTTATAAGCAGAATAAGGATATGAATGGATGAAATAATATGGAAGAAGAAAAAAAGAAGAAAAAAAGAAGAAAGAAAGAAAGGAAAGAAAAAGAAAGATATATATATATAAATAATATAAATAATATGAATAATAAATAAATTAATTAATAAATGAAAATGAAGAAAGGGAGGAGTAGTTTATAGTTTTTTTTTGTAGAAGTGGTAAGAGTAATTTTAAAAATTAAAATAAAAATTAAAAATAAAAATTAAAAATAAAAAATAAGTTAAGTAAATAAAAGGGAAAAAGCCTTTTAGCCCCAAATCATATTTTTATATGAAAATAGACATGAAGACTTTTATTTATTTTTTTATTTCTACTATTTATATATATATATATTAACTAATATTACTACTACTACTACTACTACTACTACTACTACTACTACTACTACTACTATTAAGGAAAGAACATTGACTTAACATCACACTGTCCCCACCACCACCCCCCTCATTTTTTTTGTAACTTCCACCTCCCCTCCCCCCTTGAGCCTCAGACTCACATATATATAAACACATAGGGTAGAAGTTTAAAGTAAGTAAGTAAGTAAGTATTATGTCCTAAAGTCTACGTAGTTAAATGTTTATTTGTAATCATTTATAATATTTATATAATAATAATATTGTTGTCTTTCTTTTTTGTTTCCCCCCCCCCCTTCTCTAAATAAATTTTTTTTTTCTCTTTCTCATTAATTCATCACATACAATAAAATCTTCTATATATATATTATAATAACCCTAAACCTTTAAATCCACATTCTCTACTCTTTTTTTTTTTTTTTTTTATGCCAACAACAAAACTACAAAACCTTCCTTTCCCTTCTTCTTCCACCACCACTTAACCTCACACGTTTGCACACACAATTTTTTTTATATATACAACAAACTTCTTCTTCTTCTTCTTCTAACTCAAACTTTCCAATCTCACAAAAAACCAACCATCCATTAACCCTCTCCCTTTTCTTATTCTTCTTTCTTACTACAAACCATCCATCATCTCAACTATCTTAAAAAAAAACAATCCATCAAATTCTTATCTAATCCTTCATCCTTTTCCATCTTTTACGCTTTTTTTTTTATTTATTCCTCCTCCTCTTTTTTTTTTTTTTTTTTTGGTATATCTCCTGTTGTCAAAAACATCTCTTTTTTATTTATTCTCTCTCTCTCTCTCTTATCAGTCGCTTCCTCCTTTTATAACCTTTAAATCTTTTTTTACTCTCATCCGTTCTCGACCATTCTATCTTTTCTATCTCATCTTATTGGCTGCTGCTGCTGCTGCTTGTTATTTTTTTTTAAATCTACGACACCTATCTTTGATTTAAAAGAAAAACATTTGTTATAACAGAAAAAAAGAAAAAAAAACATGGCATCAAACCCTACTACTTCACAGGATGCTTCGTCCGCTGCCCAAAACTTAAATAATAGCGACTGGCGCTCCGCTCTTAATATTCCAGCCAAAGACACTCGACCTCAAACCGAAGATGTTACAAACACAAAAGGTAACGGCTTTGAAGACTTCTACCTTAAGCGCGAACTCTTAATGGGAATTTTTGAAGCCGGCTTTGAAAAACCATCCCCTATTCAAGAAGAAGCCATCCCTATTGCTCTGGCAGGAAGAGATATTTTGGCAAGAGCTAAAAATGGTACAGGTAAAACCGCAGCTTTTGTCATCCCCGCACTCCAACAAGTCAATACCAAAATAAATAAAATTCAAGCCCTCATTCTTGTCCCAACTCGAGAGCTTGCCCTCCAAACATCACAAGTCTGTAAAACACTCGGAAAGCACTTGGGCATCCAAGTTATGGCCACAACTGGTGGAACAAACCTTAAGGATGATATCCTTCGTCTCAATGAAACAGTCCATGTCCTTGTCGGCACCCCAGGTAGAGTTTTGGACTTTGCTGGCAAACAAGTTATTGATTTTTCAGAATGTCCTATGTTCATCATGGATGAAGCCGATAAGCTGCTCTCCCCAGAATTCACTCCTGTTGTTGAACAACTCCTTGGCTACTTCCCAGCTTCCAGACAAATTCTTCTCTTTAGTGCAACATTCCCTCTCGTCGTTAAATCATTTATGGATAAACACCTTAATAAACCTTATGAAATCAACTTGATGGATGAACTCACACTTCGTGGTATCACCCAGTATTATGCATTTGTTGAAGAAAAACAAAAACTTCATTGTCTCAACACTCTCTTTTCAAAATTGCAAATCAACCAATCAATCATCTTTTGCAACTCTACTAACCGTGTGGAACTTTTGGCTCGAAAAATCACTGAGCTCGGTTACTCTTGTTACTACTCTCATGCTAAAATGCAACAACAAAATAGAAACCGTGTTTTCCATGAATTCAGAAACGGAAACTGCAGAAACCTTGTTTGCTCTGATTTGCTCACTCGTGGTATTGATATTCAAGCTGTCAATGTTGTCATTAACTTTGATTTCCCTAAAAATGCCGAAACTTATCTTCACAGAATAGGTCGTTCCGGTCGTTTTGGTCACCTTGGTTTGGCAATTAATCTTATTAGTTGGAATGATAGATTTAGTCTCTACAAGATAGAACAGGAACTTGGAACTGAAATTAAACCCATACCTGCTCATATTGATACCTCGTTATATGTTGCTGATGCTGTTGAAAATATCCCTAAACCTTTCCCCATCACTGAATTGCCAAGAGACTCCTCCACTAGCCGTGTTAATGGAAACAATAATCAACGATATAATAATAACCGCAACCAACAAGATAATCAAATCTACCAACAACAACAGCAATTTGGTCAAATCCCTCCTCAGCAGTATCAATACATGCCTCAACAATATGCTCCATTGCAGCAACAGCAACCTCAACAACAACAACAACAACTTCAGCAACAACATCAACAACAACAACAACAACCACAACAACAACAACAGCAAATCCCAGCTGGCTATTACAATAACACCCAAGGAAACAACTATCCCAACTATCCTCCTAGACCTGCGTTTATGCAAGCTCCTCCACCTCAACAAGCTGCTTATTACACTCAGCAACGATAGAATTTTTTCATGTTTTTATACATACAAATATTTTAACGACACCCTTTTCTTTTTTATATATATATTTATGATTTCTACAGACAAGACATATATATCCCAACGTCTATAAATTGTCTTTTAGTTACGCCTTGTTAATAATGAACTTATAAAATGCACATGCATTTTTGATGATACCACTTTTTCTTATGATGTGTCCTTTACTATGTTTTTTTTTTAATATTGTTTCCTACGAATATAAATGGGGATTTTTTTTAATACAGCTGCAACAACATTCCATTTCAACCATCAACAAATAATATTCAATGAAGTTTAAATTAAAAAATAATTTTTGAAAAAATTCTTAAAAAAAAAATGAAAAAATCTTTAAAAAAAAAAAAATCTAAAAAAAATTCAAAAAAGAAAAAAAAAATATTACAAAAAAAGTTTTAAAAAAAATTGAACTGAAACGCCACAAAAAAAAACTATTTATATTGTATTAACGATCTGTTGCTGCTTTGTTATTTAATGTCTTGATGATTACTTTTAACCTCCCCCCCTTCCTTCCTTTTATCACTCTTATATATCGCAATACCCAATCCCCAACCTTTTTAATCCTCGACCTGTTTTTTTTTTTTTTTGCTTCTTCTTTTTTTTTTTTTTTTTTTTTTTTAATACAATTTTTCGTGTATGAAAATCTTTGAAACTCCCACTTTCCCTCTATACAAAAAGCTCTAATGAATTCCCAAAGTTCATTTTGCTTTATTTCTCAATTATTCCCTAAGAATAGAATAAAAAACAATGTTCTTTTCATGGGTATTAATTAAGCAAACCCTTGATTTTAATGGACTTGTTTTTTAAAATGTAGAAAAAAAATGTACTTTAAGTACTAAGTAGCGTAGCCTCTAAATGAAAAAAAAATAAAAATAAAAATGACTCTGAGACTCTGTGCTAACTTAAAGATTATTTTACACTAACCTTTTTGAATTTTTTTTTTTTAACCTTACCAGGGAACTTTACTAAACTCGTCCATTTCTCAATTTTTTTTTTTTTTTTTTTTTTTGTAATCCTTGTCAAATCTTATTCCTCAATTGACTTTTTTTAAACATGAGTTCCACCCCATTCTTTAATGGCATGATACATTGGTGTGGAATATATCAAAAAAAGTAGTGGTGAAATAGGTGAACCTTGCGGAATTCCAGTACTAATTTTTTGCACTGATCCTTTTCTTCGGTCCATGAGCATACTAGCTTCTCTTTCACTTACAAATTGGTACGTCCAGTTTATAAGTGCTTTGGGTAGTTTCATATCCTCCATTGTGTCTGCCAATATATTTCTGTTAACATTATCAAAAACTCCTTGAATATCAATGAGCATAGCTGAAATTTTTTCTTTACTAGTTTCAATTCTTTGGACAAGTTCCAAAACAGCATCAGTAGCACAATAACCTTGTCTTCCCCCATATTGCTCTGGTGGAAGTAAGTGTGTTGTAAGCTTGGTCATTCTTTTTTGTATAATTTTTTCCAGTACTTTAGATGGAATCTTAAGTAAGGAAATTGGTCGGTATGCTCTTGGCTTTGAATAGTCAGGTTTCTTAGGTTTAGGTATAACAACAATAATGCTAAAAATTTGTTTGTTTGTTTTTATTCAAGGGTTATAATGCTAAAAATTGCAACTATAATGACAAGGTTTTTTGTTTAAAGGTTTGTGAAAGTCTAGTAATTCAAAATTTTGCTTGAAATCACAAGATAGCCTCTTTAGCTTAGGGGTAGAGCATTGCACTTGTATAACTAAATATATACGAAATGCAAAGGTCAGCGGTTCAATTCCGCTAGGAGGCAATTACCTTTTTATATTTACTATTTTTATTAACATTGATTTTATTTATTTTATTTATTTTTTTTCTTGGTTCAAAATAGACAGTTTTGTTGTTGTTGATGTTTTTTTTTGATGTTAAAAATAATAATAATTTTGTAGGTGTCATTGTGTTAACTACCAATGAATGCATGGTGTTTTAACCACCTACCAGATTTTTCATAATTATGAAAGCTAAATATATATTGTGTATGTTAAAAAAATAAATTTTGAAGAATTTCCACTATATATATATATATATACCTCTATCGATGTACACATAAATGAGTGATCACTGGATCTACGCTACTTTACCATGTTATGCTTCGACATAATAATTATTATAATAATAATAAAAATATCAGTATATAATTTCATTTCATTTCATTTCAATCCTACTATCTATTTATTAAGTCTATATAAAATAAAAAAAAAATTGATTTTTATTTTCTTTCTTTCTTTCACTTCGGGTGCTGCTCTATTTATTACTTTGCTCTGTTTACGTTGTGCTGGCATTTACTAAACTTTCTATCATTTCTTTTTTACCCCTTAAAAAATTAATATTCCAAATCTTCATTAATCATTTATTTATTTAATTTTTTATTAAATTTTTATTAAATTTTTATTGAATTTTTATTGAATTTTTATTAATTTTTTTTATTCCACAAATTTTAATTATAACGTTTCCCCTCATCTCTTCAATTACATGACTCGTCGTAAACTGTTTGTCCGCTTAGGCCTTATTAATCTATCCTTGCCTTCAAAATCAAGAGAGTCTGTTTCTGAAAATTCAGCCTCTTCTTCAGCCTGGCTTTTCGATCCAGTGCCAGATGCAGAACCACCCCCATTAATTGCCAGGCTTGAATTGCTATTATTGTTTGACCGGCCATATTCGTAGTCATCATCGAGCCGTGTCAGTCCTAAGCTCTCTTCCTCCATATCGTTGAGCAATCTAGCATCGTGCGATCGCATTGATGCCGACCGGCGGTGCTGCATCGAAGCTCGCTGAAGTTGTAAGCTATGACGTGTTTGTACGCCTGCCATCATATTATCCATGGGCATGCCATCGATAGCCTTTGATGGGAATAAGTTTTTAATATTGTCACCGCGCGAAACATTGAGGAGATAAACACCAGCAAAGATGATGAGAAAGCCGCAAATGAGAGACACGGAGTTTGATGCGTTGGTGGTGTTGAAGCCCGAAAAGAGCAGGAAGGATGCACACAGAGTGGCAGTTGTGAACGTTACGTAGTAAAGGGGGTTAACGATAGAGGTATCAAATTGGTCAAGCGCCTTATTAAAGTAGTTCATCTGTGTCAAGATGCAAACAACAACGACAATCGCAAACACATAGGTCGACGGATGGCTAAACTGATTGTTGCCAGCAAAGGTCAGCTTGAGCGCAATACCAAAGCCCTTGATAGCCATGACCGAAACGGAGCCGACTGTAGAGCAGATGGAGATGTAGACCATTGGGTTTTTGCGACCAAATCTAGGCGCAATCACGTAAATCATAACGGTTGAGAAAACAGCGACAAAAAAGACATAACATAGAAACCCAGGCCGCATCGCGTATTCTAAAATCTCGTCAACTGTCTGGACGTCCTTGTCTGCGGGTGCATGCAGAATGATAATCACAGAGCCGATAAGACAAATTGCGCAGCCCATTTTACCCAGCACTCCCAGCTCTTCTTTGAGAATGAGTGCCGCAAGTACAGCTCTATTTTAATTAGAAAACTTTCATCTCAAAAAAAAAAAAAAAAAAACCATATTCAGTCTTTACTTACCCAATAATGACGGCAAGTGCACCTAGAGGTGTGACGAGAATCGCCGGCGCAAACGTATACGCCGCAAAGTTTGCAATTTCTCCGATAGCCATGGTCAACATGCCTGCCCACCAGATGGGATTTTTGAGATATTCGTAGCCGTCGCCTTGAAAGCCTTGATCTGCTGCAGCCATAAGTCCCTTTTTTGTGAGAATGAAACTGGTTCCGATGGCCAGGGAACTGGAAATGGCCAGCCCCAGACCAATATATTTATCTTCAATAAGATCAGTCATGATCACCGCAAGTTATAAAGAAACACAAGACGGATGGGGGAGGAAAAATGCGGGTAGGTATAATTTATTAATTAATATTATTAATATTATTGTTATTATTATTATTATTATTATTATTATTTCTATGGGTATATGTATAGATGATGTGAAGGAAAAAGGAAACCCTTTTATCAAAAACTCGAGTATGTCATGTAAATGAGTAGTCGTGGGATATAAATAAAACTCCAAAGTGAAAACTAAAAAGGGATAACCAAGCCCTGTTTTAAGGTACACAGGCTTCTGTATTACTATGATTATCTTCTACGTAGTCCTTGGTGGACCAGCCCTTTAGTGCTGTGTTGTTCTCTTCCAAATGGACCAGGTTTAGGTTTTCTAAAAATATCAATCTCTTTTAAACGTTGTAAAATTTCAACAAACTTTTTTTTTAAAACATTGTTTGCCATCAATCATTTTCAACAATAATAAAACATTCTTTTTTTTATTTATTTAATTAATTAATTAATAATCCATTTATTTAAACTCAATGCTCCAGTCATTAGCAAGCTTCACACGAGGACCAACAATTACGGCACTGTTTTGGCTCAAACGCTTCACTTGCACAGAGCGTTTTACTTCTTCACCAGCTTCATCCTGCTCAACAACCTCAGCCGTGCCCTCTTTGATCTGGTTCGCGTTGGCACCAATAATGATGATTTTCTCAACCCAAAGCGACTTCAAGTATGGCGTCAACACAGTCTCATCCTCGTTTGTGCCACTCAGAATACCTGTTTCAATGTCCAGCTCAAATTCTGGGCGCAAATATTCGCCCTTCTCGTAATTGTAGGACTCGCCATCGTCAATGAACATCTCACCTTTGGCTTGTCCGTTTTTGTCAAGAGCAATCACAAGAGTGTACGGGTCATACTTCATCAAAGTGGCTGAACGTCTTGGTCTATCTCTGCGCACATGAATGTGACCACCACGGAGAAGCATCGGAATTGTGTTTAATGGGGCTTCAATGCGGTAATTACCTACTCCCTTGTAAATCTTTTCGTGGTCATCGTAGCCATAGTAAAATTCGTCATCTGGGATGTAAAGATTCACTGATGTGGCTCCCTCCTCGGTAACTGGTTTAACCAAAATACCGGAATCACCAACATAAAACTCATCGTCAATGGCAAATGAATCTTCATTGTTAGGTGTCACATAGTAAAGAGGTTTCAAAATAGGTGATCCATCAATGCTTGCTTGATAAAAGGCTGAATAAAAGGTAGGCAGAAGCTTGTATCTCAGCTGAATCGCAGACTTGATAATGCTAGTATAAGGCTCACCAGCCAACCAGGGCTCACGGCGCTTAGAGTCAATATGGGCATGGGCACGGAAAAAGGGATAAAATGCACCAGCCTGGTACCATCTAGTCAACAACTCAGTGCTGGGATTTCCAAAAAAGCCACCGACATCAGCACCAGCAAAGGGCATACCAGCAACACCAGATGTCAAAATCATAGGTGTAGCAGCTTTCAAGTACTCCCATTTAGCCATGTTGTCACCAGTCCACATGGCAGCAGTGCGCTGAGAACCGGCAAAGTAAGCACGGGTAAGAACAAATGGACGTTGCTTATAGTTGTAACGCTCATTAAGAGCATCAAGTGTAGCGTTGTGGTATGTCATGCCGTAAAGATTGTGAACATCACGGTGCTCCCAGCCTCCAAAGTGCACTGTATTTTTGTCCATGGTAGTTTCAGGACCACTGAAAACAGAAGGCTCATTCATATCGTTCCAAATATGCAAGTTATCATTATTTCCAGCCCAAGACTGATCTTTGCCAAACCAAGAGACCCAAAGCTTGCGGGCCTCCGGAGACAATGTATCAATCCAAACTGACTCACCAGGCCAGCAGTGACCATGGTAAGGCTTGTCTTCAGTGTTGCAGATTGCCAAGTTCTTAGACTCCAAAGTCTCAAACTGCTTGTAGCCCTTAACTGCCTTAATGTGGGGGTCAATAATAGCGACAAGTTTGCGCTTAGTCTCATCCAGCTCCTTGATCATGTCATCGTGACCTTTGAAGGCCTTTTCATTCCATGTAAAATACTTCTTATCATCAGTGTATTCAATATCAAGCCAAATAACGTCGTATGGAATATCGTATTTGTCAAAGTTACTGTTGACTTCAAGGACATCAGACTTGTCATTATAGTTCCAGCGGCATTGATGATGACCTATAGCAAAAGACTGGGGAAGAAGAGCGTAACCAGTCAAAGAACCATACTTTTCGTTAACCTCAGAGGGGTCGTCAGCAAGAATGACAAAAATATCAATCAAACCACTTTCCGAAATCCAATGAGTTTGAGTGCTTTGTAATGATGAAATCATCTTATCATTTGATGGCCGTGTTTTGATAATGTCAACATAGGTATCAGCAGCATTATTCCAGTAAAGTCCAACTGAACTTCCTGCTTTATGAGCCTGCATAAAAGGAATTGAACCATACATGGCCATAGGACTATCAACCTCGTACTCAAAAATATCGACGTTGAAGAGACGATATGGATCTTTGTGGTGGCCCTCGGCTTGTCCTCTAGTTTCACGCAGCGAAAGAGAATCGGAGTGCTCAGGAATACCATAAACATGTTTAAAACCAATAAAAGAAATATCAAGTGCAATTGACTCAGGGCCACGAACCTTTTTATCTGTCTTGCCGTCAAATGTATCCTCCCACATTCCTTCTTCCAGTTCCCAGACATTGAGTTCACTGTCCTTAACCTGCTCTTCGCCCTCCTTGGGAGCTGGAGGTTGTGCTCTCCAATGCTCAAGATTCAGCAAACCACGTTCATTGAGAACAACCTGGAGCTCTTCGTTTCTGTAGAATTTAATGCTAAAAGGATTGGACTGAAGGAAAAGCTTATTTCCACCACCATAAGAAATTTTAAGATCGTGCTCCACTTGTTCAATATTCAGCTCAGTGCCGTCAGAAAGAACCAAGTTCTCCTCAATTAAGGTCCACTTGTCAAGATCATTGTATCGCTCTTTACGAATATTCTTGTTTCCGGGAATTTCAATGTTGCCGTCCTGACGTTTCAACTCATCAAGAGTAAATCTCACAATGCCAGACTTTAAAAATGAAAGCGAGAATGGCAATGTGACAAAACCCTTAGGAGTGGTCTTAAGAATGTTGCCGGTCAATTTTGCAGTCTTGTCCTTGTTAAGAGCTACAGTTGCAACATCAATCTCATATGGAGAGGTCCATTCTTTTCCTTCGAGGGTTTGCGAAGAAGCATAGTCAGCAATGTGTCTATTTCGCTTGCAGAATTTGTTTTGCTCGCAGGTTCGGAATAAATTATGCTTAACTGCTTGTGATGGAGTACTGAAAAGCGCAATGCTAATCAGAAAGTAAATCCCCAAAAGTGCAAAAGCGTTAGGGAAAATTCTCGATTTCATTGCGAGACCGAAACAAAGCAAATGATGTAAGGATAGGTTGAAAAAAAGTGTATGGTGGGTGAGAAGAGGAGATATTGCTACTTTACTATATAGTAAGGTTAAATGAGGTTGTGCTGTTCACTACCATCTTTTTCCCTTTTTTTTTTAACCATATTTTTTTTCATCCATATATTTCAGCCCCCCTTAAGATTTTAGATTTTAGACAACAGAATAAAGACAGGTTCTCAAATATAAACTTGAGAGCAAAAAAAAAAAAAAATTTAAAAGATGGGATGGTTTAGTGGCCACTACAATTTACGAAATAAATTAATTGTTATTTCTGGAGGTTCTCAAGGCTTAGGAGCTTCAATTGCACGTCTTTGTGTCGAGCGAGGTGCAAATGTCTATATTGTCGCACGGACGGAATGGAAACTTCAGAAAGTTGTCAAGTCTCTTAAAGAATCTATATTGGATCCAGATCAAATTGTTGGATATGTTGCAGCAGATTTGTCAAAACAAGCTGAGTGTGCTCGCGTGTATGAGACGATCGGCCAAGTCCCCGATATTGTTATGTGTGTTGCAGGCCTTTCTCTTCCCGGACTACTGCTAGAAGTACCATCAGAATCTTTTGAAACCAGTATTGATTGCATCTACAAGAGTTCTCTTTATTTTTCAGTCGAAGCACTTCGAGTTATTTCAAAAGCACCAAAAAGTGCAGAGCCTCGTCACATTACGTTATTTTCTTCTGTAGTCGCGTTTTTAGGTTTCATCGGCTACGGCTCATATTCTCCTCTAAAGCAGGCTGTTAGAGGACTTGCAGATGTTCTACGACAAGAAGCCATCCCTTTTAACGTCAAAGTGGAGTGCGTGTTCCCTGGAAATATCGACACTGAAGGGTTCGAAAATGAAGAAAAAACAAAGCCAGAAATTACTAAGCAAATAGAGGGCCCATCAGATGTTATGAATCCAGATAAATGTGCAGAGCTCATTCTATCTCGCTTAGACTCTGGCCAACAAATGGTTCATACAGATGCTATTGGATGGATTTTGAACGGGCTCATGCTGGGCTCAAGTCCCCGCACGCATGGCGTATTTCTAACACTTACAGGATTTATCTTATCACTTGTAGTTCCTATTTGGAATTTGATTGTCAATAATCAGATTAAGACATACTTTAAAAAGAGAGAGGAACTGGCGGCTTCAATCAACAACAATGAAGTAGAAGATGATGAACAAGTAGAAAATGATGAAGAATTAGAAGATGATCAAGGATTAGAAGATGAATCATCGTCTAGCCAATTGCTCAACTAATCATCAATTGAATATTTTTATATATTTTTTTGTAAAAAAAATCCCATGGGTATTTATTATTATTCTTCTATTACCTTCCTTATTTCTATCGCCCAGCGGTATCTTGTAGTCGTCGTTTTTATTTTCATTATTTTCGTTTTTTTTTGTTTCTAAGCAGTGGCACCCTTAATGCTGTCGACAAGCTTACCGGCAGCATTTTCAACACGCTTTCCTAGGACATTCCACTGAATGTTGTAGAACCAGTTGACACCACGGACAATTTCGTGATTCCAAAGGTCCTTCATAGTCTCCTTAATGTCATCGCGAGTCTCAACTTCGATTTTCCGGGGAACAAAAGGATTAGGCTTGCCGTAGTTGTCAAGGACCTCGCGCGATTGCTTGAGCTGGCCCGTAACAAATTCTGAGTTCCGTCGAAACTCAGTCGCTGTGTAATAGGCAACAGAAGTTGTCACCAAAATACCTGAAAAAATATTAGCCAAAATAAACAGCTGAAAAGGATTACAATCCTACCTCCTAAAAAGCCGTAGACTCTGCTCATTGTGATACTTGAAGTTGTGGTGGTGGTGGTGGTAATGAATGGGGTTTTGCGCAAAATTGCGAGTAAAGAAAAAGAAAAAAAAATGAAAATGCGGGTTATTAGTGGTTACCAAAATCACAACAGTATATTATGGACCGCTGAGCGTATATATCAGTACATTGCCTTTACACAAGGCCCGACGACCCGGTGCACAACACTTCTTACTTAACAACTAACAGTGTTTTGATTCACTTTTGAACCGAAAAAAATAGAAATGATGAATATATACGACGTCCATTGTCATCCTACAGACTCGCCTGCTAGTTTAGAGTATATTCCATCCATGGTCACCACTAAACTTGTGGTTATGTCGACCTGCTTAAAGGACATGCCTTGCGTAGAATCTCTCTACAAGCAGTATCCTGAGAAGGTTGTCCCTGCCTTTGGCTTCCATCCATGGTACTCTTATCAGATCTACAACGACTTAGACTCCAATGAAACTTGTATAGGTAACTTTCAACCTCCTAACAAGTTCGATCATTATAAAACTGTAATTTCGCCTCAGCCTTCAGATGAGTTTCTAAACCTCTTACCCTCACCCTTCCCTCTTTCAACTGTAATATCAGAAATTGAAAGTAGACTGGCCCGAATCCCCCAAGCTATAGTGGGTGAATGTGGACTAGACAAGATTTTTAGAATTCCGGAGCCAGATAGTATTCTACATGACGAAAAGGAATGCGAGGTAGCATTAGAAAACCGGAAATTATCAAAGTATCGGGTTAGCTTCGATCATCAAAATATGGTTTTGAAAGCACAACTCCACTTGGCAGTTAAATATAACAGACCGATATCTTTACATGGTGTTCAATGTCCTGGTGCTTTGTACCAAACTGTGATGGAAGGGCCAAAGTTTCCTCCATCAGTTTGTTTACACTCATACACTGGCAGCGCAGAGTTTTTAAAAAATAACTGGTATAAAAGTAAATCTAAAAAGAAAACCCCTGAAACTCATCAGCAAGCACCCAAAATATATGTGTCCTGTTCTATTTTGATTAATGAAAAGTCTCACGACGAGCTAATAAAAACAATTCCTCGCGACCGGCTGCTGTTTGAGTCCGATTTTCACAAGGCTGGTGATTATATGGACAAATTGAATTTGGCTATTTTAGAAAAAGCCAGTAAAATTCTTGGAGTGAGCATTGAAGATTTAGCTGCGCAAGTTGAGCAAAATGTTTGTAAAGGGTTTTTGTTTTTTTAAGCACTTAAAGATAACATGTGGTAATGAATTGAAAAAAATAAAATAAAATGCTGTGCTGTTGAAAACTCCATTTTTTCTCCCCCTCGATTTTTCTTTTTTTTGTTTTTTTAATAACCACCACAAAAAATGACTACAGAAACACTTTCCACAGACGAAATTCTCAAAAAATTCTCAGATCCTGATCTTGCTGCCCATGCATATCTTGATCTTTCTTTTCAAAAATATAACCCTATGACTCAGCAGGCTGAGCTGCACTCGCAAAGCTCTCAGCTGCTGTCTCAACTAGACCATGCCACCGAAGAGCTGACTTGGAACCTCGAGACTATAATGAACGAACTTAAAAAGTCTGGCCCACGGTTGACGTACCAAATTGAACTTCTTCGAACAGGAGTCTCGGGATTGGTCTCTGACATAGAGGAGATTGCATCTCCTCAGATAGAAACGATAAAAAAGACACGAGAAGTTGATACAGAGCAAGACCAAACTGTTGCCCGGCTGCAACAACTTGAAACAGTACGCAAAAAAATGTGTCAAGTGGAGACAGTATTAAAAGAAGCAAGGGAATTTGACGAGGAGGTTTTAACCAAAGAAGTCTCTCGTCTAATTGATGAGGGTGATATGGAGTCTGCATTACAAAAAGTGGAGCATGCTGCAGAGCTAATTCAAGTGTGGAAAGGAACTAGCATTTACACAGGACGGGCGAAATTTGTTGCTCAACTGCGAAAAAAAATTGAGACTGCCCTTGGACAAAAAGATAGTACAAACTTATCGCGGCAACAGAAGAATGATAGGCCTAGCAGATCTTCTAATTCACCTGCAGTTTCACGGCCAGGTACACCCTCGGGATCAAAGAAATCAAATGAAAACGAAGGCTCTTATTATGGCTTGCTTGGGCAACTGCAAAGAAAGATTGGCTATTAGAAAAAAAAACGATTATACACATACTTTTTTTTTTATTAATATTTATGAAATCCCTCCATGTCTATACAGTTTCCTTATTTTGCGCCGATAAAATCAGATCCCGCTGCTCCTTATCAAACATATTCACACCTTCCTTGAGTGCTGCGATTAAAAGGGGCATCGATGTTTTGTTGTTGAAGTCATTACTTTGTCTAGCTTTATTCAGATCGTCACCAAAACTTCCTCCAGTCATTAATCCTAGGTAGTATTCTGTAAATGCCTCTTTGTTGTCTTTAACATCAGGATTCAGTATCTCCTCAGTTTCCTCATCACCAAGACGCTCTTTGGGGTGCTTGTTTTCATCATCTTCATCATCTTCTTCTGAAAATTTATGCGAGGCCCATAGCCGTGATGGTGCAATATCATCACTTATTTCAAGTTCCATCTTAACATCTGCACCATCGAGAATGTCATTTTGTGGTATTCTTTTGCTGATTTCTGATTCATTTTGGGAATTTGATTTAGAAACAGAGCTTTTTTCTTGTTCTTCATCTGAAGAGTCGGACATGTCAAGATCAGATGAATCTGAAGACGACGACGAGTCAGAAGAAAGGTCTATATTGTTAATGTTAGAAAGACCTTTAAACGCGTAGATTTTCAATCATTACCTTCAGTTCTCGCGGGTTTTCGCCTCCGCCGTCTTTTAGCTGGGGGTTCTGCTGTTCTAGGAGCCATTGTTTTGTATGTTTGTTAATGGGTTGTAGATGGAAAAGGATTTGGAAAAAAAAAAAAAAAAAAAATTTCGTGGTTTTGAATAAGAGCTTAAACCGAACGGCTTAAAAAATTTTTTTATGTCCACCATTACAGTAACCTTACCCACACCATAAGTTTTGCAGATAGCTGAGCAAAGCCTTGATAACGGTTTATAAGACTTAAAAACTTTCGTACCCATGAATACAAAATACCTTTACATTATATTCTTATGAAAATAAATAAACTATATTTAAATTGATATCCTTGATTTAATAAAATGGTTATATTCCTTGGAAAGAGTTAGCAATATTTGCTTTACTTAGAAATACCAGTAACACAATCACTAGTAAAAGCAACAGTTTTTCCATTGCTACAGCTGGCATTGCTGTAAATGGTATAGCTACCTTGACCATCTGGACAGGCAACAATTGTACCACCTCCTGGTGTGACGTAACCACCTTGGGAAATCCATGAACTACCTGAGCCGCTACTTTGGACAACTTGGAGGGCGTTATTCCCATTAACAATCACATATCCATTACTAAAAGAAGGAGATGAGGCAATGAGAGAATTTCCTTGAATAACAAAGCTGAATGGAATACCACCAAAAGATGTGGCAGAAGAGCTAGTTGTTAATAAACCACTGGGAAGAACATAGAGCGTAATAACATTGAAATTTGTGTTAAAGTTTACAGCGTAGTTGGCATTGTTGTTAATACCCGTGTTTTGATTGGTATTTTGGTTTTTATTTTGATTATCATTGTTATTAGTGTTAGCATTGTTGTTATCATTATTATTGGTGTTATTGTTGTTATTATTGTTAGTGTTGTTATTGTTACTAGTGTTATTGCTAACGTTGTTGCTGTTACTGTTGTTGACAACGTTGTTAGAAGAGGTTCCACCAGTGGTCGTTGTAGTAGTACTGGATGTGGTAGGTGTGGTGGTTGTGGTTCCAGTAGTGCCAGAGCCAGTAGTGCCAGAGCCAGTAGTGCCAGAGCCAGTAGTGCCAGAGCCAGTAGTGCCAGAGCCAGTAGTGCCAGAGCCAGTAGTGCCAGAGCCAGTAGTGCCAGAGCCAGTAGTGCCAGAGCCAGTAGTGCCAGAGCCTGTTGTTCCAGTGCCTGTTGTTCCAGTGCCTGTTGTACCGGAGCCAGTTGTTCCAGAACCTGTAGTACCGCTACCACTTCCACTTCCACCACCTGTTCCAGATGCAGATCCGGATCCTCCAACAACAACAGTTGTAGTCCCACCACTTCCTCCAGTACTACCTGTAGCATTACCACCAGATCCACCAACAGACGTGCTTGTTGAACCACCAGCACCACCAGAACCGCCGCCACCGCCGGCTCCACCTCCGGCCCCAGAAGCTGAACCACCACCGGCACCTCCAGCGCCACCAGCACCGCCGCCTCCGCCGGCACCAGCTCCAACACCAACACCTGCAGCACCACCAGCACCACCGCCACCACCAGCTCCTCCATTTCCGCCGTTACTACCAGAAACAACGGTAGTGCTGGTAGTTGTGGTACTAGGAGTTGTAACGCTTACTGGCACAGTAGTCGTAGAAGAGCCACAAGAGTAATAATAACCACACCCACCATTAGAATATCCTTTAAAAAGACTTTTCCAACTTCCACCAGGGTTTGCTTTAGCTTCAGCATCAGCTTCAGCGTCAGCAATTGGAGCTGCCATAGTATAAGCAGCAAAAAGAGTGACTGAAAGGTTAGAAAACTTCATATTCAAAACAAAAATTAAATGAAGTTTTAGCTGTTATCTAATGTTATATTTTAAAGAAAAGGAATAGTAAAATTAAAATAATAATAAAGAATGAATGAAATAAAAAAATTAGTTAAGGAGTGTATTAATCAAGCCAGCTGATTAGTTTGAAGAAGAACAAAAAAGATGAATCCATGAAAAATTGTTCTCTTTTTATATTTAAAAAAAATGAAATAGTGTTAATCATGATGAATTTTGTTCATTCCAAATTCACAACAAAACCAAATAAAAACAAACAGGATTTATTCTCATTTAAGCTCATTTGAATTGATAACTAAGGGTCTTATTCTAAAACAGCTGTTGAAAATCCACAAATTCCTTTTTAAAATCTGAAAAAAGTAACGATGATACCATAAATTGAAAAAAAATAAAGAAATTTTAAGGTTAAATTAGATTTGAAACAAAAGAGTGAAAAAAGCAGTTAATACTTTTGGGTTTGAAAATATTTGAATGTTTGAAAGAGAAATGTTCAGGTGAAGTATTTCGGAAATCGGTTTGAATATTTTAATTCACTTCAATCGTCCTATATGTGTCTCAAAAATAAACATTTTATAGCTTTGAAGTTTTAGCAACTTTTTTTCATGATTTATATGTTGTAAATTTAGTTTTTTTCTTATTGGCCAATATTTTTAAAGAATGATGGTCTGAGGTCTTTTGAACCAGCAATTACCTAAGCCTAATACACCCATAGATAAACTAATAGTTACTGAGCAATCTAGGAATGAATGAAAGAATGAAACTGGGTGTTTATTTTTTAGAAAAAAAATAACCTTTAATAATTTAATACTTGTTATTTTTAATGATTAATATTTAAATACTAGTTGTATTTTAAGCTATAAGTAAATAGTAAGAGTGTGACAAACTTATCTGATGTGTGATAGAGAAGAACAAATTGATAATAATGATATAGCAAAACTCACCAAACTTTACTTCATAAAGTCATTTAATTGTAATCATGATTAAATAAATTAAAATTTATAATTTTTTATAAAAAACTTTTAAAAAAAATTTCAATAAATAGGCATTCATAAGATCTCCCGTTTTTGGGCAAAACATTGTTTCATTCATCAATTTCATTTATTCCTTCATTCAGCACAATAATTTTAAATGAAAAATATAAATGTAAAGAGCCGTTGAAAAAAAAAAATGTTAAAAGATGAGAGCTTGTTAAAAAGTTAATCAGATAAGCTTTTTGAATATCATGGTGGGGTAAAAGGCTTTAAAGATTTGAGAAAAAAAAGTAAAAAAGAAAACATTATTTTTGTGAAAACAAGAAATATATATAAAAAGTTTTAAAATCAAAGCAGTTAAAAAAATGACTGCGTAAACAAGAAATCGTTTATTATTAAATTTTTATTATAATAATACATTGATTTTCGCTTCCAAGAGCCCTTTAATTCGTTACCAAAAGTTCCAACATTTATATACGTATACAAGTTGCTACCAAAAAAAAAAAAAGGGTTTTCTAATCTTATTAAAGAATCGAATTTCTTTCATGAAATGATTTTATTTTTAAAAATTTGTGTTCGGTATTGTCTGTTTTATTCAAAAAAAAAAAAAAAGGTTTCATACGGTAATTAAATCGACAAACATGACTCTGAAAAGGATTTAGTATTATGATTCATAAGAAATCATACTTTACAGTTAGTTAAGAGATCGTAATTACAACGTGAATCATTAATATATTACTGGATCTTTTACTTTCAAAAGCAAATCTGCTCTATTTGTATGAACAATATGATTCATTAAAACCAGAACTTTTGAATATTTACAAAAAAAAAAAAAAGTGTAGATCGGGTTCAGGAACATTCATACCGCGGTTAAATTTCTCTTTGAGGAAGTGAGCCAATCCGTAAATAAAAAAAAAAAAAATTTAATGTTGTAACTTTACCCTAGCCCTAATATTGTGAATTAATATCATCATTACGTCAACAGAATATTCCAAGACTTTGAAAAAAAAAAAAAAAATTCTACTAAAGCTTATTTACTACTACTTTTTCAATTGAAATAAATTTCTAAAGCCACGTTTAACTAACCACAAATAGATTTTTATCCTCAATATTTTTTTTTATTTTTAAAATATATATATATATATATATATATATATATATATATATATATATTTTTTTTTATCATAATTGAGTAATGGTTTAACAATTATCAATTCTATATTTAGCATTCTGTTAATTTAATTGCATTAAACTATAAATAGGAATATTTTGAAAAAAAAAAAAAATTATTAAAGCATCCCATGGTAAAAATAGAATCACATGTACATATTGTAGGAAAACGTGATGTGTAAATAGATTTTGAAGTTTAAGCGAGATAGAAAGGGTTCTGATTTCCAATTGGCCACGCGGGATGTTTACCAAGTAGCTTCAAGGACCAATTCTTTCCCATTGATGTTTCTAAGCTCATCTCAACAATTATATAACGTTAAAATTGGCCAGCTTACATCATTGATCCCGTTACCAGAAATTTTGTTGTTTTTTCAAGAATGAAAACCTAACTTAAGTAAGAAATAAAGAGATTGTACACGTCATTCAAAATTTAAAGATATCAGAACATGCATAGAGCTTAGATTAGTAACATTGCTTAAAAAAAAAAAAAAATTTAAGATAATTGAATATTTATGGGAAATTGTATCCCACTAGATGATATAATAAATCAAAATAATTATTATGGGGCGTCACTTTAACTGTGTTAAAACGCGGGTGACGGCATTGAAGCAGAAATAGCCCTTTCTCAATAAAATCATAGGGATTGACTTACTAATTTCAATTTAATCAACATGAACATTCAATCTAACGTTAAAATGTGTGTATCAATCTCATAACAACTTTTGAAACTTGAAATTCCTATCCCCACAATATTTAATCTATTTTAAGAACAAATATTTTTCAGACCTTAATCTGAATTTTTTTTTGTTACTTAATATAACTAACCAAATTATTTAGAAATCTAGAAATCCAATATGACATCCATTGTCATTAAGCGGTAAAATAAAAATATATTTTTTTTTTCAAAATGCGTTTTTTTTTTGGGAAATATATCTTCAATTATCGATTACTTAATATTTATTTTTATATAATTCTGTTTATCAGTTTCAATATTTAAATTTTTTAATGTTTAAAATAGATTTTAATTTATTAATTTTTCAATACTAGTCCCATCCTCTGTTGTTGATACCTTTTTCATCATATGGAAACATGGTTATACTAGTTTAACCTAATCAAAAGGTTATATTTGTTAAAGTTATATATATGATACAGTTAAACTGTAAAAGTTTGGATAATCTTATTCATAGCAAAAATATTACTTTATAGAATCCCTTATTAAAGAAAATATTTGTGACTTTATTATTTTTTTAGCCTTTCTACCGTACATCAAATGTCATGTGTATTGAAATTTAAAGTGTATTCCATTGTTTTGTTTCTTTTTTATTTATTAAAAAGAGACTAAGATTGAAATGAATACATTGAAGGTTCTATTGAAAACTTTTGTATATGTGAACATTTTCAAACCGTTAAAAAGAAAACATATGTAGGTTGATTTTTCTAAGAAAAAAAAAATCAATCTTAATTCCGAAAATATGATTTCATTCTAATATTAGAAACTTCTTTTCAGAACTCCGACGTTTAACTTGACACATAACTTTTTTTTTTTTTTTGAAAACATTGATCGCTTTAGAGAAAAGTATTTTTATAATATTTTCCTAATTAATTTAATTGGACATAATTTAAAAGGATTACCAATATTACAAAGTGATGACCACTTTTTTATTGCTCTACTTCGCTAATAGACTTTCAAAGAATATTTCTTGTTAATTAATATTAAAATTATATGAAAAGTTTTAACTAAAGTTTCTAATAATAGTATTTTCCCTTTGATCTCCTGTTAAAAAAAAATTTTTTTTTTTCAAACAAAAAAAATTTATGTTTACATGATAAGGGATCATATATACGGATAAGCTAATACCACCTTCTTTTTACTATTGAACTAGCCCCGGCAATAAAATGGAGCGATCCACCAATCTTTTTTCAAGAATTAGTTTGAAATAATATAATTAATCGAAGAATTCAAATTTGTTTTTTTTATTTCTAAAAAAAAAAAAAAGAGAAGAAAGAAAAGTACGCTTCTTAGCCGCATCGTTTATTTTAAAACTTTCAGTTTAATTTAGGCTCAAAAAACCTCGGATCCTTTTTCTAAAATTTGTTTGCTATTAATATCTAGATATATAAAAACCTGTACAATCTTTTGATAAAGAACAAACATTGAAAGCAATTTAAAAATAACTAAGGTAGATTAAATTTAAAAATAACTCTGTCAATGGTTACTCAATTGCATTTACCTAATTGGATTTATATTGAAACAATTTATATTGAGAAAAAAAAAGGTATATTTTTAGGATATGCTCATATATGAGTAAGAATCTTTTCTTTCTACTTGATTTAAAAAAATAATCACTCTTTGAATTGTCTTGCAACGATTTTTAGGATGCTAGAAAAGAGAATTTGTAGAGTGATGACACTGCGAAATAAATTTTATAAAAATTAAAATCAATATGATGTAACCTCCCATCTTTATTGAGAAATTTTGTAATGTGTGTGACCAAATATATAACTTTTAAAGTCTGCTCTCTCAGGTAGTATCAAAACCATGAAAATTTGATATTCTTTAAAAAAATTACTAGTAAATATATAGCATGGTAAAAAACCAACTTATTTGAAACATTTATATTAATTTTTCAAAGTGTTTAAAGCAACTTTTTTCAATAGATTTTATAACGGAAAAAAACAGAAGAGTTTTTTTTTTTTTTTTTGGAAATAATGGTTGCAGGACCCTTTTTATTAATCATTTTTCAAAATAACTGTCATTAATTTAATAAAAGTTGTTAACTATTAAAAAAAAATAATTACATTTCATGGTATGTCAAAACTTTTGGGGTAATGTTATTTGGC